GTGAAGGACAGGAAGGCCTGGCGCAATATGGTTCATGGGGTCACGAAGAGTCAGACACGACTTAACGACTAAACAACAACAAATGCTTCAAATGAGGTGCCAAACAGTGCAGGGAAACACAGACTAAAAGCTTCTCTTTGAATCATCTTTTTCCAGAAATACGCAGCTGCTTTGGAAGCTGCTCCCAAATACCTCTACATGTGTGAACAAACACACCCACTTCATTTTTTTTCAAGCAAAATACTTGTGTATGCACACCAATGAAGAGATAGTCAGGACAAGTTTCCAAAACAGCTGTACACAGCTGAAAAAAAGACACAGATGGATCTAGAAAGAGGTGTTTCATATCCATGCCCACATGTTGCAAAAACAATTTCTGCAGCTCTTGCAAAACCCATGTTATAATATCCTTTAACTGAAAAATGATCAAGCTTGGTGGGTGGGTGAGTTGGAGTAGAGAGGTAGGTGCATCTCACATGGTGTTTTCTATGACCTACAATCAGTCTTAACAACTATTGCGACATCAGAGAATTCATTTTCAAATAATATTCAAATCCACTGAAGGACCCATCTCTCCTCTGTGTTGTAATATGATGTTCTCTGACTTTCCATTAGAGCAGAAACAGTTTCACACATGAAATCTTCACCTAAATGTTTATTTTAATGTAAAAACCTATGTGAGCCTTAGAATTTCTATCAACATGCAGCCATGTTAACAGAAACCATTAACAAAGAGTCCTTTTAATGTAATGAGGCAAAGAGATGAGCGCTTCTATAGATACATATGCAAAGTGAGTGTGCATTTTACCACTCCTAGACATTAGCACACTATCAGATTTGTGCTCCTGTAGAAAACAGTGCCAATCCAGGATGCTGAAAGAGCTGATTGACACTCTTTTAGAGCACTGACAATAATTTTTGAGAAATCCTGAAGAACTGAGACACTAAAAGAAACAGAATGTTGTATATATCTTCAAAAGGTAGAAAAACAAGTATCCAGTACAGACTGTCACATAACAGGGTGGGTGCACTCCAGGTTGCTTCCCTTAAATGCTGTCATCTAATGGGTCTAGAAAGTGTGCCCCCCCCCCAGCCTTCCAGAAGGCCTTAAAAAGTTGGCTCTTTTTCCAAAACTGGGGATAAGGTGAGGCTGGAGCCCAGCCCAGTGATTGTAATTGTTGGTGTACTGGGGAATGTTGTTTAGGGCACTGGGATTTGTTTGTTTGTTTAGACATTGGTTTTATTATTTTACTTTGGTTTTATTGCTATTTCTGTGAATCATTCAGAGTTGTGGCATATAACATAGGTGGCCATATAAGTCTTTTAAATAAATAACATAACATAGCCAGTCTGCCCTCTCCACCACCTGAAAATATTAGAATAGATTTCTACTCAGAATAGAATATTAGATTGTGAGCATCTAGAAAATATTGCACAGATTTCTAGGAAACAAGATGCATTTGACAGGAAGAAGTTATGCCAGGCCAGTTTGCATTGTCTCTAATTTCTATTTATCTGCTTCATAATTTGATTGTGGCATTCATATTATCTATCATATTTTATTTTGACCCTGGCAAACCATTTGATAAGTATTTCCATTGTGGTAAACTCAGGGTTGGATTCTACTTCTTTTAGGTGGACCAAACTTCTGTTTGGAAAAAAAAAAAAGAGGAGAGGAGAGGA